GTTCATTGAGGGTACGAAGAATTAGGTTACACTGTTTGCATTTGTTAGGTAAAATCCCTCTTATAATTATGTCCCACCCCCAAAAGATGTACCATACACCGTAAACCCCTCCAACCCCCTCTCCCCTCCCATCTGGCTGTTCCCGTCTTCTCCCACCCCCCCCTTGAATTGAATTGAGTTTTTCTCTCATAAGAGCATGTGTTAGGGCTCGGCGCCTGTGGCTCAAGCGGCTAAGACGCCAGCCATGTACACCTAAGGTGGCAGGTTCAAACCTAGCCTGGACCGCCAAAGAACAATAATGGCTGCAACCAAAAAATAGCTGGGCATTGTGGCGGGCGCCTGTGGTCCCAGCTACTTGGGAGGCGGAGGCAAGAGACTCGCTTGAGCCCAGGAGTTAGAGGTTGCTGTGAGCAGTGAAGCCATGGCACTCTACCCAGGGTGACAGCTTGAGGCTCTGTCTTTAAAAAAAAAAAAAGCATGTGTTAGCTCATCTACTGGCTTCACATTAGAATTGAGTATGTTGGATCTTGCTTCTCCATTCTTGTGATGGTTTTTACTAAGAAGAATGTGTTCCACCTCCATCCAGGTTAATACAAAAGATGTAAAGTCTCCATCTTTGCTGACTAGTATTCCATGGTACACATATATCACAGCAGCCTCTGGGATTGTTGATTTCACTGTCCACAATTCAGCTACCCACAGAGTAATTCCAGGGCTCAGAGGATTTTACTTTCTTTCTCATGGCCACAGTGGGGAATGAATCACCTCCCCAAGCATGGAAAGTGTCTCTCCAGCCTTACTGGGCCGTTCTTGGTCTAATCACCTTGAACTAACAAGTCAGCAGGGCCCAAGGCATCTGTGTGACCTCACCTCTTGGAGCTAGGTTGCGTTCCTAACCTCAGATTGATTAGGAAGAAGAAAGGAAGGGAGTGGGGTTTGGATAAGGAATCAAACAAGATCATTACAGTATTAACAGTAACATTGCTCCACAATGAATAAAAAATAACAAACTCTAATGACCACGTGGCTTAGAGCCGCCTTTTGACCGTAAAATGTTTGCCATAATTAGACAAAAGTATTTTATTGAGCGCAGAAGCTGTAGAACTTTGAGCTTCAATTAATACTGGAAGTCATCTCCTCCCCGATCATTAACACAAAGGGCTGATCCTTTCCAGACTTCATGGGCACCCAGTCCTAACACGATACCTTTCAGAACTGAGTAGCTCAATTTGTAACGTGGACTAGAATTTTAATTGAGCTACATTTGCATCTGTTGAAAACATGGTAATTAGGTATGTTTTAATTGCAGGATGACTGGGCTGCATTAAAGAGAAATCAGCAGCTTCACGCCATACCTTCTTAAAAACAAAAATAACAAAAACTTGAAAGTACCTGCCTTTGTACGTAACCGCATGAGAGAGCAGCTGACCATTGAGTGCATACAGCAGGTTCAGACAGGCAGAAATGTTGTCAAAAATGGAAAGTTCTATTTATTTGGAAGGAGGCAATCATCTTTCTCTGTGCAGGCCACCTCTAAAATGAAAGCAAATTATCTGGAAAATCGAGCAGAATTAAAGAGGAAAAAATCAAAAAGCTTATAGCATTAAAAATAGTAAATCATCTCAATGTAAGTTTATGATTAGTTCTAATAAACATGTGACATCAAACCATTTACTGATGTGATACATCAAATGGTACTACTTCTTATTTGAAAAATTGTTTATATGAGTATTTTGTGTTTTCTTAAAGAGAATACACATTTTTATGTACCTTATAGAACTAGTATAGAGAAAGATAGGTTTTAAAACTTGGGATTTGACTAATAGGTCAGTGACCTTAAAATTATACATAGTTTAAAAAAAAAATAGGCGTGCATCACCAATTTCTTTGAGCTCTTAAAAACCACAGTATTTCTGCATCGAGGCGAGGTAAAGGGAGAGATTGTTCTTTTTCCCTATTGATCAATTTCAGAGTTTCACATCTATAGTGTGATACCCTAAAAGAACATTCTTATGTTTGTACATATGAAGCTACATATTGCTAAATATTTTTAATTAGTTGGCATTCAGAGGGATTAGTTAAATCAGCACACCCCCAGAAGAGTGTCTGTGATAATGTATTATCGAAATTAGAATGTTCAGAACAAGCACCAAGAATTCTCCAAGGTGCAAGTATCATTTTAAACAGTCCACTTGCTCGAGGCAAGAAATGGAGGTAGGAGTTTTGATTTTTATAAAATGAGGTTATAAAAACCTGAGGTTAGTAAGCGACTTGATGCTAACTTAACTTCCCCCGATTTGGAAAATAAGTTGCATTACATACCCCAGCAAATTATTGCGAATATGAAAAGAATTGGCAGCCAATACGCCTTCAGCATATAGTGAGTTGTGAAGGCGCTGCCTTTATTCCTTTACCGAGCCAAGATCAGACATATGCCCCTTGAACTTCTGCCAAAACTATTAGGCAGAAAACTAACAGAATCGCTACTGATACTCCATTCATGATTTATGATAATGGTTGCTGTGAACGACGAAGTCATTTACATTCAGGGAGCTCATCGTTTTGTTTATAATTTCAGATATTGTCAAGGGTTATAAAATCCATTAGATGATACATGCGGCACTAACAATAATAGCCTGAAAAAATACCAGAAGCCGATCAGAGCTGTGTCGGGTACCGTGGGCATCCCTGGCGTTAACAGCAGTGAGGTTGTGACTTGGCGCGCTTGATGAAAGGAATGGAGGCATTTTCCTGGACACAGAAGAATGGTGGAACCTAGGAATTGGCTAGAAGTTTGCTTGGGACAAAGTCATGAGTCACGTTTTACCAACAGTCTTTCAGTAAGAACCCCATTTGTGAGCAGCTGGTGTTTGCCAGGCAATCCTCATTTTAGGAGCTTAAAGAATAGGAGAGAGACATGTTTGATATGTGATAGGAAAGTGCCCACAATCAAAGATGAGAAGGAGCTGTGAAAGTACAGTGGAACGGAGATTTCCACGCAGGAATCGTAGAACGTTCATCAGCCTCCATGTATCTGGTTTGAGTGTACCAACAGGACCTGGGTTTTAGAGCTTTGCCAGAACCTTTGAAAATTGTTTCCTAATGATTTGGTCAGTTACCTCAAAGGTCAAGGGAGTGGTTTGCAAGCAGGCAGAATAGGGCCACGTTCAAGGGTACTAGATAAAGTGTTGCAATCTTGCTTAAGTTTCATTTGCATTCTCTGGGGGAGTTCTCTTTTGAAAAGGCTACACATAATTATCATGCCCTTGGGCCAGCTGCCAGGGTATTCTTTCCCTGTTCTGTGTACACCACACACACACACACACACACACACACACACACACACAATAAAAATTGTAGACTTCACTCAGCAGTATTTGTAAGGCTATGGACTTTCATTAACTGTGTCGATGTGAAAGTTGTGACTGGTTTCTGCTAACCAACCTGCACAACACTTAGTCTTTATGTATTCATCAACAGAGAGGAACAAAGCAAATTTCCTAAAAGCCGCCCTCTCTGTTCTTTAGAGGCAGGTCAACCTTTCTAAAGCCATTTGTAGGGTTGCCTGCCAGTCTTAGAGTTTTAAAAAAATTCTATGGCTTGTTCATGGCTCCATCATTTCATATGGTCGCTTTTCAGAGACTCCCAAGAGATTGGGATTGTTTCAGCCAGTCTCATTATACCCTTGATATCGTGTGTTGCTCATTCAAGGGTCTCTTGTTGCCGGAGAGGGAGACTGAATTTTACTTGAAGATGATGTGAACTTGATTTGGAGGTCAGTTCTTTGCAAAAGATTGGGAAGAGGCCCCACTGTTCTGTTTGGCACTGTGTTGAGCAAGAATTTCAACAACATTGAGCTACACTTTCTTTGTTGAAGCTGGAAAAAGGGAAAAAAAAAAAAAATAACCCAGAACTCAAGGAGTAACCCGAAGCCCCTGTACTATATTTGGAGAACATCTTTAGGCTCTAATCTCAGAAAAGACTTCTGAGAATGGCGGTTAATATGTACATCTGTGCTTTCTACTTAATAGAGAAAGTCTTAAAGTTCTTTTGGTGGGTGGAAACCAACCTCAGTTGCTTGTAATTCTTTCAAATGTAGAAAGTTTTGAGGTCACGACTTACCTTCAGACCATGTTCTTCTGAAGTGTCGGTTCAAGGAATGGAAGGTTGCTATTGCTACGTAGATCTTTCCGTCTGCAAAGGAGGGAGGCGTGCGGTCCTTAATTTACACATTTTCATGGCTCCATCCACCTGTGCTCAGCTGCCGTTGTGCAGATGGGCACGCGGAAGTGTTCAGGGTGAGGACTTCCCGCAGGCTTGACTTCTGATGTTCACCTGTGCGAAGAGAGTTACGGAGGCTGAGAAGATCTGTTAGGGCCGTAAACTGAAAAATCACTCTTCTGCCTACAGAAATCATAAGTGGACACATCTTTGGAGCCGGAGGAAAGACCTCCTTGTGTTGACTTAGATGTAGTTTAGCAGATGAATAAGAAACCAGACCGTATCTGCACTCTCCCTACCCTTCTGCAGGAAGTACGTCAGGAGGGGCTCCTTGTTTTCTTTCTTTTCACTTGGCAAATACAATACACAGGGCCCTTAGACGTCCGCCCCGGATCAGGAGGTCACGCTGGGTCCCCAGCAGCTGCATGATCTGTGGCCCAAAGTGCGGGCCCGGGAGAGCAGTAGCATTCAGTCAGAGGGCTGCATCTCTCTTACCTTTCCTTATTTATTTATATTCCTGAGTCTTGGTAGAGAAAGGCACACGTTCATGGGAGTCATCCACATCGCGTGCTGCATTCTAATTCCACCCAGAGTTAAACAGCATTGCCGTCCATGTCAGTGGCCAGGCCATACCACAGAAAGGAATGTGGGACAATAAAGTCCTCACGTGTATTCTAGTATTTTTTTGTTTTTGTTCCTTTGGTTCACCATGTTCCCCCTCTCCCTTTTTTTCCTTCCTTCTTTCTTTTTTTTTCTTTCTTTCTTTCTCTCCTTCCAAGTGGAAGAAGACACAGAAGAAAGTTCAAGATCAGGGAGAGAGTCCGTCTCCACGGCCAGCGATCAGCCTTCCCACTCTCTGGAGAGACACATGAACGGAAACCAAGAGAAAGGTGACAGGACCGACAGGAAAAAGGACAAAACTGGGAAAGAGAAGAAGAAAGAGAGAGAGAAGGAGAAGGATAAAATGAAGGCCAAGAAAGGAATGCTCAAGGGCTTGGGAGACATGTTCAGGTAAGTCTCCACCCTGCAAACCAGAGCTCCCCTAGATACAGGCGGGTGAGAGTCACAGAAAGGCTGAAAGCCGGTGGTGGTGCACACACCCAGAGTCCCAGCTACACGCGAGTGAGAAAGTCACAGAAATGCTGAAAGCTGAGTGGTGGTGCACACACCCAGAGTCCCAGCTACATGTGAGTGAGAAAGTCACAGAAATGCTGAAAGC